CCTAGGAACTGGGCCATTGGTGAACCAAACAACTGGCAGGGGCACGGGGACGGAAGAAATGAAGACTGTGCCGAAGTCATGCCTGGTGGGCGCTGGAACGACGTTTTCTGCCTGAATATGCAGCGCTGGGCGTGCGAGATGACACGGAACATCACCGGCTAGGAGCCCTGACCCCGGCAGATCTCCACCTGCACCCCACCCCTGCCCTACTCCCAGCTTCTCTACTGGGGATTTGGAAGAAAGGAAGAACAGGCAGGGGCATTGGGAGGAGCTGAGGGAAGATGGAACAAAATGGTTTCAGAATCTCAGACCCCGGTACACAGATCCTGCCTCCTCCTGCTACTCACTGTGAGGGCCACCATTTCCAGCCTCCTCGGTGGAGAAGGAAAAAATAAACGAAACACTGGACACTCTGTGTGGGGACTGGTTATTGGGAACTGGGAGTGCAGGGTGCAAAGAAGGGGACGCAGAGGGTCTGGGAGGAGGTTTAGTCCTAGACAGCTTCTCCTGGGTCCCCAGTCCTGAGGGACATGGACCAGGAAGGGGAGGGAAGAGCTGGGAGCTGAAGCACTCAGTGGAAGGCACTGGGGCTGGGGGTGCAGGAGGAGCTGGCTGGGCCGGGCGGGTGGGAGAGGCCCCCCACAGCCTGAGGGGCTCCTGGAGGAAGCACTTTCCCTGCAGCTGGGGTCTCCTCCAGAAGAGGCTGAAGGGGAACCCCACCCCCCTCAGCCTGGGAGCTGTGGACTGGGCCGCAATGCTGGTGAAGAATGTTGTAGGAGAGGGAGGGCTGGTGGCACCCTGTCCTGCTGTTTTCAGTGGCGGCCTCTTTGTGACCCAAACAGATCTAGTCAGATGTCCAGCACAGGGTGTCTCCGACATGTCCACAGCGGGCAGACCTCATCCTCCAACATCATCCAAAACCAATCTTAGAAGGGTCTTCAAGCAATTCCATTTCTCTTTTATTTTCATTACAAAAGTGACATCCAATTAGCGAAAAATGTTTTAAAGACACACACACACACACACACACACACACACACACACACACACAAAGAGATTTATTACAAGGA